CACGCGGGCCTCTTCCCTCCCGGGAGCCCTCACGGCCAGCCGGGAGGGGAGGGGAGGGGGCCGGAGTGGCTTCTGAAGAGCGCCTGGGTTGCTCAGCGTTTGGAGACTGCCGAGATGGGTCTCTCCTGTCAGGCTGCAAAGGGGAGTCGGGGTTAGGATCAGTTTTAAGGCGGGTTTTATCTTTCTGGGTTTTAGCCTCTGCTGGCCTGTCATTCCGTCCACTTCTTTGCATGCTTGCTTGGGGAGAAAGGCGGAGTGTCAACCAAATAATAGACCGTACGTTGAAAAACACCCTTCTTGCCTTTCAGACCTTGGGCCTCTTACTGTGGCTTGTCTGCTGGGCAGACCTTTTCTACTCTTTCTGGGAAAGAAATCACAACATTGTACGAGCTCCAGTTTTTTTAGTTAGTCCTACAATTTTGGGCATAACAATGGTAAGTGAAAGTAACTTTGGTTATTTGGCTTTGGGCCGCTTGACCTGTGAAACTTTCTCAGTTAGAAGTGCTGGTGTGGCTGAAGCAGGCTGTGATGCTCACTCGGGAAGCAAACTATATCTTGCAAATCTTGGATCTCGCATGTTCCAGCCCCGGGCGTGATCCGGGAAGAGAGCTCTTGCTCCGTGAGTCTCCGTGGACAGTAACAGTCTACACTTTGACTTCCCTGTCTGCAGCTGCTTGCCACGTTTTTGATACAGTGCGAGAGGATGAAAGGCGTCCAGTCCTCAGGAGTGATGCTCCTCTTTTGGTTGATTGCGTCCCTGTGCGCTGCCGTAACCTTCAGATCCAAAATTATGCACGCTCTCAGCAGGGTGAGTGCCAGCCAGCTTCTTGGCTTGCGACAGAGCCCTTGGGACCCTGGAGGAACAGGTTAATGATTGAGCCGCGGGTAATGACACGTTAAATGCTCCGTCACCTTGTAGTTTTAGAGCCGCTAAATTGGCCTTTTTGGGTTTCATTCGAAACTAACCCAAGCCTTGCTATGATCTGGCCACACCATCTCAGAAAGACCCTCTGCCCACTCCGTGGCTGGCAGTTGATGCCAAAGCTTTCCTTGGTAATCACTCTAATAATTTCCTGCGTGGTTTTCAAATTGAAGCTCTCCGTGAGGGGGGCGAGGCACAATTTTAGGGTCATCTCATTCTGCGAGTCCCACTGTATCTTGTAGCAGTGAGTTCCCTCAGTTAGGTAGGTCCCTCCGTGTTCTGCTTGAGTTTCCTTTTGATCAGTTTTATTGGATGACCCTGAATTCTGTTTTTAGGAAAAGAGGGAGCTGACGTTCTCCAAACCACGCATCATTTCGTGACCTTCACTAATGTAGCATTCTTATTTTTTTCTTTCTAGGATGCAGAAATTGACATCTTTCGCTCTACCACTTTCTACACCTACTTCGCTTTGGTGCTAATACAGCTTATACTGTCCTGCTTCCCAGAACATCCACCTTTATTTTCAGAAAACGTTCGAGTCCCTGTAAGTATCGTCACGGCAGTTGGCTGAAGGAGTAATACTTGGGCCAGCAATGTGTTTGCTTAACCACAGTGCTTTTTAACCTTCGATTGGATGTTTTCTATTTTTGACGCCTTTTTCAAATTCAGTTGCTTGAGCTTCCAGCCTGCACTACAACTGTTGGCTGAGATACGGGATTGGTCTGGGTTTGTTTGTTTTTCAAAAGATCATTTTGTTTCTTTTTATTTTTACAAATAATCAAAGGTGGAAAGTTTTGTATGGGTGTGAATGAAAACGGGGGTTCCCAAAGGGAACTTTGGAGAAGTTTCCCGCTTTCCTCGCTCCCCCCCACCTGCCCTTCACCATGGTAAGATTACAACTCCCTGAATCCGTGCCATGCCACCTCTGCTTTAAGCAGCCCTTAAAAACGCCTGTTTTTAAGAGGGAGGGACTTTGGAGAAGAGGCAGGAATTGTAGGGTTGTCTGGGCGGCTTTTTGCGCAAAATGATCTCTCCTTCCCATTGTGAAGTGTTCGGGGTGAACGCCTGCTGCTGGGGAAGGCTCAGAATTGCTGGAATTGAACAGGGCCTCAAACATAAGCTCATCCTGGGCAGCATTTGCCCCAAAGCCGCAGAGGGCACTCTCCCTTCTTCGCTGTGTGCAGCAAGGTTTGGATAATCAACTCTCAGCTTCGTAAGAAAAACGCTAGTAATGTTTTTCAACCCTGTTGGCTCCTCCAAGCAGGTCAGAGTCTTGTTCTGACAGTTAGCCGCATGTCTGCCAGCAGCCTGGCAGAAAAAAAGCCCCTTCCCCTTTTTTGTGGGGGGCCCTCACCTCCCTCTCTGGGGATTGGCTGGATCAGCTCCCCACGCTGGGATTTGCAGGGACACCCACAAAGAGCGGCTTCGTATTCCCGTTGCTGCTTTAGCGGAGATGCTCAGCGGATCAAGGATGGTGATTTGGAGAAGCCGCGGACAGCGGAGAAAACTGTTCTTGTAACAGCAGTTTTTAAGGGCTGCTTAAAGCAGAGGTGGCATGGCACGGACTCGGAGTTGTAATGCGACCATGGTGAAGGGCAGGTGGGGGGAGCGAGGAAAGCGTGTGGCTTCCTGTGGTGCCTCCCTGGTTCCCCTTCGGATCTGGAAGGGAAGGGGCAGAAACCTGACACTGGCTCTTGTTTAAATGGGCTCCGAGATAGACTTGTGGTCAGCAAGGGGCACAGAGAGGGCAACATTTGCCCTCTGTCTCACCTTCCTCTCTGGGGGTTGCCAGGGTGAGGCGTGAGAAGGTCCTTGGCTGGGAGGGTCTGGACCAGCATGACAGAGTCTTTGAAATCTGTCTCCCCCAACTCTGGGGGTTTCAACTGCCATCTCCCGGCCGGCTTTGCGAAGGGCTGGCGTGCCTGCAGGTTCTGTCCTGGGTGCGGATTCCCCCCTCCGAGAAAGGGAGAACAGGCTGTGCCAAAGTGCTGGTCCTGGGCTGGGCTGGGCTGGGCTGGGCTGGG